GCCCTTCTAGTGGAATGCAGACCCCTCCCCACATCCCACCTGCCCGCCTTCCCCATGCTCCAGCTCCCTCAGACACGCAGGCTCTTTCCCCTCTAATAGAAACACACAGAGGGATCAGGGTACCCTGTACCCCGTCTCCTCCAATGGTAACATCTTGCAGAACTCCAGTGCAAACCTCGACCAGGATCTGGATGTGGGTCCAGTGGAGATGCAGGACGTCCCATCAAGGCGAGGACCCTTGTGTCCCTCCCACCTCAACCTGAGCTCCGTTCCTGTGATTTTGTCACTTCAAGGCTGTCATGTACATGACATCATACAGCGGGTAATCCTTTGGGGTCGGCATTTCCTCTCAGCATAATTCCCCGGAGACCTGCCAGGCGTCTGCTGTACCAACAGTTGGTTCCTTTGTACACTGAGTCACACCCGCGGTGTGAGGGCCTCACCCTCAGGACGGCCTCACGGAGGAGGTCTGGGTGTTTCCACTTCCGCAGACGAGGCCTCGTGAGGCTCCCTGTGCAGGTCTCTGTGTGAGTAGGTCTGCAATTCCCTGGGGTAAGCGTCCAAGCTGCCCCGGCTGCGTCCTGTGGTAGCTGTATGTTGGGTTCGGGTTTTGGTTTTGGACGGAAGCCTCTGTTTGCCAGAGTGGCTGCACGGTTCTGTGTCCCCAGCAGCCACATGTGATCTGCCTCCTCGCCGGCACCAGCTGTGCTCGCCGTTTCTCACCTCAGCCTTTCCTACGGGCGTGGAGTGTCTTGTGCCCGGTGCTGCCGAGCGACCGTCTTTCCCGTGCGTATCTGCCGTCGGCGCAAGTACGTGAGTGTCACTGCTGAGTTCCCAGAGCTGGTCACACGTCCCGGCGGGAGGCCTCTGGGGGAGGGGCAGATCGACGATAATTTTCTCCCCTTTCATCTTCCTCACGGGATCCTTCGCCGGCAACGTTTTTAATTTTCAGGAATTCCAATTCGTCCAGTTCTCCTTTCATGGCTTGTACTTTGGGTGTCAAGTCTCAGAACAATGGGCCCGGCCCCAGAGCCCAAGGATTTTTCTCCTGTGTGTTCTTCTAAACGTTTCATGGTTTTATCTTTATGTGTAAGTCTGTGAGCCATTTTGAATTCATTTTTGTAGAAGGTATGGGACTTTCATCAAAGTTTCTTATTTTTTGGCCTGTGGAAGCCAGAGCCTGAATTTCCCCAAATTTCCCTCCAGTAACCCCTAGTTTATTCACTTTTCTTTATTATTCAAATATTTCTTGGTGCCGACTGAGCGTCTGGCCCCTCAAGGTCCTGGGGCCCACAGGTCAAGTGTGTAAGACCCATGCCTGCCCTCTGGGGCTCACTGTCAGGCCTTGACTGGCCACGCCCTGACCCTCCCAGAAGCTGCCTCGGGATCAGATGTGGGGGGGGGGTTGTCTACGTCAGGCCCCCCAGGGCAGCCGAGGGGAGCGAGCCACCCGGGGACTGTCTGCATGGACCCCATCCCGCCGTCCCCTTCCACACAGCGCCCCTGGCACCGCCCTGGGGGCCGCGATGGGGCAGGAACAATTGCCCGGCTTGTAGTCTCAGGCGGACACAAGCACGCTTTCACGAGCCCACAAGACCGGGTCTGTGCCGCCTGGCGCCAAAGGGAGCAGGCCCAGTGCCCAGCTGGGGAAGATGCTGCTCTGGCCACGCCCCCAGTGGGCAGCAGGCAGAGGCTTCCTGCAGCCTCCAGCCTGGGTCCCCGTGCCCCAGCCGAGCAGGCAGCCGGGGCCAGACCTGCCCTCCAAGGAGGGGTGCCTGCCACGCCCCACCACACCCCAGCTCAGGAAGACCCTGGGCTTCTGGGAGGGACCCCAAGTTCCAAGCAGCACAGGGTCGGTGGGGGGGGGGGGCGTCGAACACACACTCAGGGTTGGCAGAGCTCCAATCCAATCCCAGAGGGGCCTCCGTATGAGTGTCCTGTGGCTGCTGTATAAAACACCACAAACTCAGCGGCTCAGAATAGGCCGACCTGCTACTTAGCCTTCCAGCCTGGAGGCCACAAGTCCAAAGGCTCCCGTGAGCTGCTCCCTGCTGGGGTTCAGGAGGGTCCGTCTCTTCCTCCAGCTCCGAGCAGGTAGCTTCTCTCCCTCCTCCCCACGCCCTCTCTCTGGCCCTGGCCCTCCCACCTCCTTCCTATTAGGGCCCTCGTGATGACACTGGGCCCCCCCGCAACCCCGGCACAGGCAGCTTAGAACTGGTGGACACAAAAAAATGAATCTCACTTGTTTTACTTTTATTTTGTACACGTGGCTCCTGTTGTATTATATTTATATTTATATCGTGCAGTGCTTTGCAGTGTGCAGATTCGCTTTGATTATTCAAATAGATGTTTTATAAAGAAAATTGAAGGACGTGTGCATTGACCTCCTGACTCTCCTGCTGCAAAGAAACCTGTGGCCTTGGCCCGCCCTGCGTCCTGGGCCACACGGCCCAAGCCCTCGGGAGGAGCGGGGGTCTTAAGGTGGCTGCTTTCTGTTTTCGGGAAGCATGTGGGGACAGCGGGACCCCAGAGCAGGACAGCCAGCCCAGCCCGGGGGCGCCGGGGGGGCTGGGAGCGCTTCTGGGAGAGTGTGGAGCAGGGCCCAGTCCCAGCTCTTGGCATGCAGGGCCATCTCTGCCCCGCACAGTGGGCCACCTGCCCCCAGAGTGATGGGCAGACACCACTCACGACAGCCCCCCCAAGGCCTGCGGAGCTGCAGCTCCCACCCCAGCTCCACGGACCACCCCTCACAGCCCACGAGACAAGGCCCAGGGCAGATGCCCGCACAGCTCACACCCGTCGTGGACCCCGGAGCTGCTGCCGCTCAGCCCAGCGCCAGCGACTTTCTGCGGGTCAAGCCCCTCTCCGGATCGGTCTTTATTCTGGAACCCCCGTTCGGCTTTCCCAGGGAGCCTGCTCTGTCCAGCCATTGGGGGGAGCCGCGTGGTAGGCTGCCCCACCCCCCAACTCCCATGGGCCCTTCCCAGCCTCCACGGAAAGGCCAGAGCCTGGACACTGGTCCGAAAGCTCTCTGGGAGTCCAGACACGAGGGTCGGACAGCACACGCTCCCCAGCTTCACGCCCTTCCCGAGTCACTGCTTAGAAACTCGGCCCCCCGAGGCCATCAGACCGTGGTCACCTGGGGTGGGCCCGGGGCCTGCTTCCTGCCACACAGAGCTCAGCCCTGCTGCCGGCCCCTGGCCCCGGGGAACCATGGCCAGCTCGTCACATCAGGACCACGAGAGAGGGCTTAAAACCCAAGGGTCCATCACCATCGACGGGTGAACAGAGAAAGAAGATGTGGTCCATCCACACATGGGATATGATTCAGCCTTAACGAGGAAGGAAACACTGACACAGGCTAATGAAACTTGAGGACAGAACAGTGAAATGAGCCAGACGCAGAAGGACAGACACTGTGGTTCGACTTCTGCGAGGTCCCTGGGGGAGTCGGGGTCACAGAGACAGAAAGTAGGGGGTGGGGGCCAGGGCCTGGGGGAGG